AGTAGTTACCATGGTCCCTAAGTACATACTGCTGGGAATTTGCTTGTTCCGAAATGCATCCCAGTCCACATTCTGATTCACCTTCCAGTTCACAGGAGTCTCACTCCACGACACAGCACCGACGGGCAGTGAAGGAACTCCAAAACTCACACCTTGTGCCGTCTTGCAGCTCCCCATTACGCCAGGGGTGCGTAACCCCTCGCAAAGCGTAACCTTCTCGCGAACAAGCCCCACGGGGGTGGCATCTCCCTCCGCGGCACCTGCATCCTCTGCGCCCGAGGCCACCGGCAATGGCGACTGACTCCGAATGGTCGAGGGCGGCATAGCCGGCCGAACGATGAGGCTGGACGTTGCCTCGGACATCCTGCGGTCCAGCGCCTTGATGGCGCACTTGATGCCACCGAGCTCGCCGGCCATGGAGGCCGTTTCTCGAGCATGGCTCGCAGCCATGCTTTCCACTCGTTCGGAAACCAATTCCTGCGTGTTTTGCTGCGCTTGAACGGTGGCGCCGAGGTCGCCCAACACTCGCGCCGCTTGGCGCAAGCTTTCATTGGCAATCGAAGCCTCCTCGGAGGCCTTTCCCGTAGCATTGGCCAGCGCCTCCAACCGCGCATCTTGGCCTCCTTTCTCCGATTCCAACGCCATCAGCCATTTGCGTACCGCTAAAACATCCTCCTGAGTCCGTGCGAACCGTCCGCCGTCGATCGTGCCCGCCAGCTGCACCTCATCCGCCAACTTCTGATTGGTTGCCGTAAAATGCTTCTCCGTTTCCGCGAGCCTCTTCCCCATCTGCTCCATTCTACGGTCCATCTCCATGCCGATCCACTCTTCCGCTCGAAGCCAATCTCTGCGAACAGCAGCTTGCAATCTCCCGAGCTCATTCGCTTGCATTTCAGCTCTTTGCCTCACACCTTCCAGCCCGGCGCCGATCACTGAAATGGCCCCTTCTTGCGTGGCCATTCTGCCATGCACACCTTCCTGCAAGGCGCGTAGCTTGTGGCCTTGCTGCAGCTGCTGCGCGGCCGATTGATTCGCCGCCAGATCGAGCTGCTGCCCGAGCGACTCGCCCATGCCGCGGAGAGCGGCATTCTGCTGCTGCCCGGCCGAATGGCTCCATTCTGCGACCGCAAAAAGGGTCGCTCTCCTCGCAGCAGCCGCGGCCACAGCCCCCACTTGGCGCAACAATAGCTGCTCTGGCCGATCCTCACTTTCTCCGTGCTGCGCGACCGTCACTCCTCCACCGTTTCCATTCAGTTCCATGGGGGTCGGCCCGCCTCGATAGGGCACCAATTGCCCGGCCGATTGGTCCCCTGGATTCCCAGACTCCGGGCGAGGATCCCTACTCGCCATTCCGGCCGTCGGCCAGTGTGTTCTTGCCGCTCGAACGCTCCGCGCTCCGAAACCAATGATGCGGGAGCTTGGAAGCTCCCTCGGGCGCATAGGTCGGATGAAAGGGGGAGTCGGAATCCCCGGGCGGTTACTACATTTGTACATTATACAAGATTGTTTTTTAATTGCTCTGTGCATTGTCCCATGTCCTTTGTAACCACCCCAGGGCCAGTTTACCCAGCTCAGACCCATTTAGAATAATCAAATACATCTAATTCATCTACCAAAGCAACCATATCACGCATCGTCAACGAAGGACCTCACTCGTTCCAGTGGTCCGTATGCGGCATCTACCACCCATGAATACCTGGGTGGGCCGTTGCAGACGCTGAAGGGCAGTATATTCCACACAAACACTCCCAACGGGGTCAGAAATGCAATCAGAGGGCGCGAACTATCCTCCATTTCCATGGCGTAGTAGCCGCTAAACCTGTCTACGCTCGAGTGCAATGGCGACCCGGCCAGCTCCTCCAGGATCTCATCCACGCGCAATAGGGGAAATGCGTCGGGAAGCGTGGCCCTATTCAGAGCCACAAAAGTGCAGCACAACTGCAAATTGCCATTTTTTTTGGAGGTAGCGTAACACCAGAGAGCCATTCCACTTCCCCATTCCACTTTTCAATGAATCCCGTGTCCAGCAAGGCATTGAGCTACTCCCGAAGGAATGCCAGCTCCTTCGGAGCGAATCGCCGCTGTCGCCCACATCGCACCAGGCGGCTTCCCTCCCTCAAATTGATGGCAAACTTCATGTACGGCATTCTTTCCAAGTCGGCGTATGATAACACAAAACAGTCCTTGAACTCGACCAGCACAGTTTTGATCTCCGTTACGATAGAAGTACTGAGCGAGGGTCCGAAATGAACCTCCTCCAACCATGCGTTATGGACATCATCTTTAATATGCGGTAGACCAGCCAAACGCGCAGGCGTCATCCCATCGTCCTCCACATTTGTTGGGTGACTCATCCTCAGCTGCGCCAGGAGCCCGCCCAGCTCCTCTACTGCGTCATCCGGACCCGAATCCTGATCGTATTCACCGCTATCCTCGGTATCACTATCGCTGCTCATGTCCATGGTGACGACTTCCAACTGCCTGCCCCACTGTCAAACTTGCCCCCCCTCCCCCCCCCACGAGCGTGTAGATTTGGGAGTTGAATTGGGCTCCTGTATTGTTCAATGCCAACCAATCCTGGCCCAATAGCACGTCGTAGCAGCCATTCGCGTCGACACACCGCGCTGGGACTGATACCGACACGCCCTGAATTTCCACCATCGCATCCTTGGCCAGGCGATATACCGGTGCCGTTTGGCCATTTGCTAACTCTATCCCCGGGAGCTTTCCAGTGATACGGAGCCGCAACCAATCCGCGCAGGACTTGTCAATGAGTGAATAAGACGATCCCGGGTCCAGAATCACCCTTCGTATGTGCAATCCATTCACCGTGCACTGTGCATAGATTCTGGTTCCCACGATGCGCGCAGCAGGCGGCGCGTCATTCCCCCGACCAGTCGGACCGCCCGTCGCCCGCGGTTTCCTTGTCGCACCCAGTAGTTCCCTCACCGCCAAGACCAACTACATATATACCTCTCTCTTGGACAGGCCCTTCATCATGCCGATGGGTATGACGCAGGTCTTCGCCATGTACTCTTTCCACTCTGGTAATAGGATAGGGCGGGTACGAGGCTTCCGAGGGCCTTCCCCCTTCCGGCGCTTGCGATCGCCTACCATGCGTGCGGCGGATCGCTCATCCTCACTCCAGGTGTCGTCATTCGGGTCCCCGGTCCCCTGGTCCAATCGTCCACCTCAGCATTGACGCCTCCCACACACGTGCCAGTCAGTATCGCTTGGGCCAATCGCCCCACTCGAACACCGTTCTGCTCATTCACTCGGCGCGGTGCGTCGCGTACAGGTCCCGCACGATTCCCCCCTGTCAGACGGGGCTGCTCAGGAGCCGCGTGCCCGGGTGCATTCTCTGCTGGATTCGGTCGGGGACTCCCTCCTTGCTCCAGAACAGGCTCAGTACATTGCCATTGCACATGGCCCAATTTCCCGCATTGCCAACACTCGACTGCTCCCCGCATGGCCCCACGCTCACGCACTTCCCGCGGCCCCGTCAATCCGGGTAGTCTTGGCGGCCCTGAAGAGGGTTCCCCGGTCGGTCGAGGGTCTCGCGGCCTGAATCGTGGTCTACCCCCACTCCCTTCCCCCGAGTTACCCCCATTTGGCCGTGTGCCTCCCCGCGCACGCGCCCGCAATGGCCATTCCCCCAATGCATTGAGAAGTTCCACACCCACATTCTGTCGCTCATCCACCGACCGCAAAGTATCCTCTGCCTCCATGTTCCGCGAGGCACACTCCTTCCGCATAGCAATTTTGGCGGCGCTTTCGAGATTGACGTACCCCAGGAATTTTACCGCCTCCCGTAAAGGATCCCGCAAACCATCGACCCACAAACGATACCACGCTGCTTCAGTGGCTTCGTCCGATTTAGCCAATAGTTCGCGAAATCGGCTAAGGTATTCCTTAACCGACTCGCCCTCCCTCTGCGCGAGTATTCTCAATGAAGCATTACCCCAGTCCTCAATGTCCTCTTCCACAAACCGAACCCGAAACGCTTCCTTCACTTTCTGCCATGTGCGATTTTCATTGAACAGCCACCTGGATCGCCCGCGCACTCAGCGCGCCGCTTCGCCGGAGGTGCTTATGGTTAACAGTGCGATCTGCTGTGCATTGTTCGCGACCCCTCCCATGACACAAATGCCCTCAAAGTGCAACAGCCAGCCCTCCACGTCCTCTTGCGATCTATCCCCCGCAAAGAAGTGCGGCCGCAGTCGCATTCTTTCTCAGCGATCACCACACTCCTTGGTCGATCGCTCCCCCGCCACCGACCGCTCCTCGGACAGCCTCCTGCTGCCGATGGACGCTCCACACTCCTCCCCGACGCCCTTGCGAAGGTCCCGGCGTCGGAACCACTATAGCGCCGGTGCCCTCTGATGAGGCAGCACAGCAACCGGCTCCTTCGCAGATGCCCGGCGGAGGATTGAGCGTGTGAGACAGGCCCTCGAGGCCAGTGACCGTCGTGGCCCGTAAACCCAGTGTTCTTACAAAGCACGTCCAACCATATATAAACCCATTCCAAATCTGGACAGCTAACGGTCGGGTACAAATAGATTGACAGAGTGTTCGAATCGCACCTCCCAATCGACACCTTGTCTTTACCATGTTGGCGGCACCCATTAGAATCTTCCCCAGAGAACTTACCCCAAACTTACTAACCGGTCCCCTCACTTCTTTCTGTCCCAATCCGCCCGCACCTATTCCTCTAAGCCGGCCTACCTGGACCCGTCCGCCCGCCGGCGTTCCTGAGGTCCCTACCCAGTAACTCCCTCACGCCCCTGTACTCCCGCGCTGCTACCCGCTCCACACCTAACCTCCCAATCTGCCTCCTACCGTCCCACTCCTTCACTACCCCCTTCTTCCCAAGTACTGCCCGTCACCAATCAACCCCTGCTCCTCACAACACTGGGGGTACTTAAAAATTTGCCACACACGCGGAAGTGTTTTGTTGCCAAGCAGGTGGTGCGCCCGCCATCAGGGCTCCCAGCGTCGCGATGACTGGGCCCCGCCAGCAGCGAAGCAGCGAGATCTGGTCAAGGCGACTGTGCTTTGGCTTTGTCCTCCTGCTATGGGCATGGGCGCGGTGGGTCAGTGCCACCTACCTTCAACGTTCATAATGGGCCTAGGCTGTCTTGGGTGATTAGGACCGCCGAAGCTCTGTAATGAACGCTGGTTGGAATTGTGTTGTGTGCAGGGACCTTTGGATGTGGCTTCTTGGTGTGCAAGTTGGCTGCACAGGTTGGGCAGCGCCGGATGTCGCTTGTGAATGTGGGAACCCTCGTGCCGTGCGAAAACAGCCGCAAGCTGCGCGAGGCGCGGTTGGTTGGACGCAGTACCTGGGCGTATACTGGGACAACTGGCGATCAACGCACGCCCGCGTTTGTTGATTGGAATCCTTGTGTTGACTGCATGCTGCTGTTTCTCAGTTACCGTGGCGCTTGCTTTGTTTGGATTGTGGTTGGAGGTGGAAGCCAGCGGCACTTCTCGTTGGAGGTAAATGTGCGGCTGCAGCTGGTCGACTTAGTCGATGGCATGGAACGCTGTCCTTCACACGTGCTTTTTCGGACGAAGGTGGTTGCAGACCCAGAAGTTCCGCCAGATTGTGGTATCGGTTTGGGTTCCTAGGGTGTGCGCACTGCAGATCCATGCTGCAGACCTCCTGTGAGCCATTTGTGATTGTGTAAGATCTGCAGCGAGATTCGATGTATATGCAGTCTTCACCTGCGAATTGGTGCAATGTGTGCCCCTGACCCTGACCTGCTGTGTTGCAGCAGTTTTCACAGCAGTTCAGTACAGCCCAAGCCCAAAAAATCCAAGCATGCAAAGCCTCCAGATAGGACTCAGGTACATTCGCTGAGGGCATTACTGCTTGTCATCCTGTTAGTATGTAGCAATATTGGCTCATGGGCTGAATAACTGCTCACAAGAACTTAAACAGAACGAAGTTATGATGAGTGGACTTTAGAAAATGCTTGGGAAAGAAGGCAGCTCTGAACATCAGCATGGAGCAGCAACAACTTGAGGTGTAGCAGTGACATTCTATTCCCATTGGAAACAATAACATGCATGGCATTAATGCAGTAGTTGCATCCACATCAGCAACTGTTTACCTCGGAAAACCACTACCAATGGGTTGCCAATACTGGCAACTGGGCTGTAATGACACTGCATGCTGCTTGGTTGTTTCTTTGGGTGCATTGTTGGGCATTTCAGGAGAAAATGCTCCCATCTTATATGTAGATCACTCCACAGTGACCAGTGCACAGGAGCCATGGCTGCGCATGTGTAGTGCTGTGTGGGCAGTCAGCAAACATGGGAATTGGCATCTGCACCACCCAGCCCGTGCACAAGAAATCCGCACTGTGGCAGTGAGGGCATTTGGTGTGAAGATAAACAGGTGCAGGCACAGTCGGGAGTGCCCTATTGTGATAAGCTCAGATGCTGCACTGCTCAGCAGAACTGAGTGCAGTGACTGCCAATAGTGTGGGAAAGATGGAACCTCTGCAGATGGTCAGTGACTTGACACATTGTGTTGCAGATTTTGCTGTAAAATGTTGTTCAAATCCATGGATCCACACAACATCATTGAGCCCATTTGCGTGCATTGTGCATCCTTGAAATTTCATTTGAGGAAGCCATGTCGGGGGTTTTTGCAATTCCAAGACAGGCAGGCGCTTTGCTGGTGATGTTGGACAGACACCCCCCCTTGCATGGATTGGCAGTGTCCGCAGTATTTGTATCTGAAGCACATAGTGGTTGCAGTGGCATCCCAAACCAGTTTTGGCTGGAACTGCTGGTAGAGCGCTCAAGGATGATCTTGAGGGTAGAGCAGAGAGCGAATGGGAAACCGACCAGTGGAGGGGAATACTGAGAGTCAGCGATGGGCATGAGGACAACCCCATACAAAGCAGGACCTGCGTATTCACAGATGAATCTCAAGAGTGAGGCCATTTTGACTGTGGGCTCGATGGCACCAGTAGCATCAGTGATTTCCAGTGACATTCAACCAAGGTCCTCTCCTTTGGAGTTTGTTTTGGTTTTGTGTGATAGCTGGTTGTGTGGATGGGACGTTATCAGGGATACTAATAGTCATGCAAACTTAACTCACCCCGTGCTGCCATGATGACCTGCTCATCAGATGATGGTGGCTGTCTTCTGAATGCTTTTTTCAACGCAGGATATGCAGCCCGAAGTCTGCTGCGATCAATGGAGACCACATAGACTTTTTGGCTGGTGTTCAGTACTGCATAAATGAGCATTATAGGAACAGAGGCTTGTTTGAGGAAGCAGGAATGCAACATGGGACAGAGCCAGGCATGAAGGGAATATTTTGGCCTGCTGACCTCAGATCTCATGCCCCATTAGATGGTGGCACAGCCCAGTATGGTTGGTCTTTCTCGAAGCCAACTCTCTCATTTTCTTCTGGCAAGGACAGGGAAGATGTGATCGCAAGGTTGGCCCCAAGACGGCCGCCGGTAAGCATCTCCAGTGTCCCTGATGAACAGTGCCTCTGGAGTCTGGCGTCCATAGTCCGGAGTCCAAAGTCTGGACGTTTGTTCCATGTTTTGTTTGCTGGTAGTGGTCAGCACTTGCCACATATGTGCCACCCTTGCATATCTGTTGAAACACCTTACAGCCCAATTGTGGAACAGGCTTTGAATGCACTTGCCTTCATCTGTGCTGTGTGCAAATTGTGGTGCCTTTCAGATGTCAGCACAGGCAGCCTTGCTGCTTTGAACTGCTGTTGTTCAACCTGCAGTTTTGCTGCACATGACAGTTATGGAATGAGAAGTGTGGAGAACATGTCATGGAGAGCTGTCTGGTATGAGCATGTTGTTGTTTCCGCCCAGCACTGCAACTACAAGCCACATCCCGGGTTCCGAAGCCGCCTGCCGGAGGATATTCGGCCAAGCGGCCAGAGAGAAGTTGACAATTTTCTTGCCTGGCTGGGTGTCGATCAGCAGATTCTCTCTGTAAGTGATTCAGCCACTATTGTTGGTTGAGCGTACTGTGCATCTGATGCTGCATCGAAATTGACTGGATTGTATGGAGTTGAAAGTTGTGTTTTTTGTTGCAACCCTGCTGAATGCCCACCATTGAACACTGCACATAGGCTGGCATAAGTTTCTTCCTGTGTACTTTGTCATGTTTATTCCACTATTTTGTTTGCAATGCAGAGAATGGTCTTCTTGCTGCGCTACTTTTTTGTCAGAAACATTGCGAAGAAGCTTGTGGGAGCTATGACTGCCACAGAAGGACGCTTGCGTTGTGCTCTTGATGCATTGAGCCATATTACTGGTGGTATGTTGGAGCACTATGTCTTTTCGCTCTCCACCATCCTTCCTGATGAAAACAATAGATTTCTTGAGCAAAAGGAGCAGGATTGGATTAAGAGAGCAATGGAATCAGCAGAGCGATGGGGTTTCAAGGAACCACCCACTAACGACACCCCAAAATGGCGTGAGCTTTATGAGGTGAGAAATGGGAGTTTATTGCCGGTGCACAGGTAAAATGCTTGTCAGCTGATTGAAGGGATTCGCCACTGGTGGGAAATTGGAGTCAGCAATGGACAGCTGGATTTAGAGATAGAGATCGTCGTCAGTCAGTATTTCCCTTTGGCACAAAAGCAGGGTACTTGTTTCATTCCATAGACATGCAGTCAACAGCTGTAGCCCATTGCTTTCTTCTGTGTGCTGTTGCATATTGGGAGCTAATTCCATTCTTCCAGAACCAGAGTCCTGGAATGTAGAGAATGGGACACATGAATATTACGCTCTGGCAGCACAGTTTTGTTGCAATTTCAGGGATAACTTGTGCTGAGGTTTTGAGGAGCCTACAACATCAGCTAGTTGCAGAGTAAGGTAACACCAACAAATGGGCTTATAGAATGTTTGCTGGCTACACAGCAGACGCGGTGAATTGTTGTGCTCTGCAACGAACACTTTGCGCTGGAGATCTTGGAATGATGGTTCCCTTTCTTACTCTGTACATGGTGCTCTGGAAAAGCATGCAATCTTGTTCTGCGCCACATTGCTATTTCTGTTTGCTGTACTTCCATCGTGAAGCTGTCTACTGGCAAGTGGCTGAGCTGTTGCGCTGTTATCAATTGGACATGAATGCCTTTCGTGGCAACACTCAGCATACCAGTGTGGTGTTGGAGCTGCAAATCTCACATTCAAGGTTCAGGTTTGAACCATTGTGGCTCTAGATGTTGCTCAACCCCAGTGGGTGCCACAGAACAAGAGTATTATGTTGTCTGTAGAGGTGCATGGAATTGGACTGTGTTCTTCCGTCAAGATCAGTGTCAAGATGGCAGCATGCCTGTGTTCCTGCAAAGAGAAACGTGGATGAACTGCACATTCGATCAATTCCTGCTCTACCACCATATGTTTTGCAGGGTTGTTTGCGGTGCATTGGTCGAATGGGTTTGTGCAACACTATCCCAATCTCCTTGTGTTGATAAAGTTTGGATAGTAAAGTCATGTCAAGTTGGAGGCTATATGCAGCAGCTGCTTTGCGTGGAATTGTGTGCAACATCAGTTTTCATTGTATCTTCACTTGGCGATAGCTTTCCTCTACAGCAACGCAATATGCCGTATCACCCTGGAAGCTATGGTTTGATTACAGTTGTATGTTGCGTTATTGTTTCGCACGCCAGGTTTTGAAGTGGTATGCAACGCTCAAGGAGTGGCTGTCGGGATCTTGGTTCTGTGGAGTATTGCCCCAATCTTGTCCAAGGGGATATGTTGGTTTCCGGCTGAGGCAATTGCAAGAAGGGAGCAGCCTCATGTCAGATTTTGTCTGGGATGGTAGCCCCAAGGGAATCTGGCCGCAGCAGGATCTTCCCACTGACAGTGCGATCGTTTTTATGTTGCTGTCACTGTATCTCAAGGCACCCAAATTCAACCTAATGTTTTGGGAAGGCAACGTGGACTCGGAGCACAAGAGAAGGCTTCAAGCAATAGATAGGGCGCCAGAGTGAGTGATCGTCCATGTTGTTCCACCTGTTTATTTGTTTTGAGATGCCTCTGTGTCCATTTGCGCCTAATCGTTTCGATTTGCTGCAGATCTGGTCCGCTGTACATCGGCGAAACGCCACGGTTCCTGCCGCCTCATGGTCAGTTCACTGGCTTCCTCCTTGGCGAGGTTCCTGTTATTCGTGGAAACGGTCGTGGGGTCATCATGCACAAGTCATTGGATGGAAAGCCAATGTTTACGACCATGATTGATGGCCACCTGCCGTTGAGTTTGACAGGACCGGATGCTGTGTTTGAGGCTATCGCTGTCTTCTTGTACTGGAACGACGAGCATTTTTCAGGATACATCAACGGCCTATCTGACGAATTTTATGGCTTCAAAGAAGTGCTGAATTATAAGCGAGAGGGAGTATATGGATTGACCAGAGTTTGGGGGCACTGAGTGGTGAGGTTGGGGGGCTGCACATGCCAGAAAGGATTTTGCTTTTGGGGATCTGTATTCATTGTTGCGAGATCTGTAACAGATGGCGGTGAGACCAGAATGCTGCAGTGTGTTGGGTTGGTGCTTGAGCGATTGTATCACGATTGGCATCAAGTTGACGGGGGCCTCGTTGAGCCCTCGAACCACCCCTAGTTGTCCAAAACATTTGTGTTTGTAGATAATATCCACAAATGCAGCGTAAATGAATCCATACTTATGCTCTCACCCCGTGCTGCATGGAGTAGCTGGCCGGTTCATGGCCGGCCACCGTGGAATGGAAGTCATTCTGCTATGATGGGTCATAATACTTCTCCTCCCCAACCAAACAGATCAACAACAGAGTGAAAACGAACGGGGAAAGGACAAGCGAACAAATGAATTGTGACTGCTGGTGCAGGAAAAAAGTTGGGATTGCGATGTGGAGAGCTGGTACAGGAAGGAGCGAACAAAAATAGCCACCACCACCTGTCCGGCTCAAATCAGTGTAGACCGTGTCTACACTTTGGTCAAACGAGGATTGACCAAAGCAACGACCTTGGGCATGCAATGCCGAATATGAAAGATGAAGTAGGAAGAAGTGTGCCAGTTGCAGCGCTTACATCAGTTCTTGGACAAATTACGAATGAAGAAAAACATTAGACAACTGTACTCGTGTATATGACAGAAGAATGGATGCCTACCCATGGAAGAATACCCATCAAGACTAGGCATCTGGAGTCATCAAGAGGGCTATTTAGGAAATACAATGAATATTAATGGAGAATCTCATTCCTTAGTTGAGCTTACTAGGAACCCACAGGTTCTTGAATCATACCATGCGAAATCGCAATGCGAAAGTACTCTTTGCTACAGTTCCAGCTCGACAGCTTGCGAACACACTTCGTTTGATGTATTACCATCGATTATCACTTTTAGGCAGCGAAATTTCATAGTTCATACATTTAGTTTGTATTCTCCTTAGATTCCTATGAACCAATCACCGACACTGCTTTGCTCAGGCAAAATAGGAAGCTGACGGCTACCTCATTGCCTTGTTCTGTAAAAAATGATGATGATGATGATGATGAATCATACCATTCAGGTTAGCGGTAGTGGAGATATAGCTATTAGAAGTATTTAAGTACCCCTCCGCAACTGTATTGGGGGATGAGATACTATTGATATGGTGACATTGTCTGCATTGTCGCGTAACACGGGGCTGGCCAAAGGGTGACCCCGATGCCCGATGGATTATAACTTTTGCCAACCATTTGCCTCCACATAGCTGCACCCGCGAGCCGCACCGGCGTTATGCACCCACTGCGGGCACTGCCGCCCTGCGCCCGGCCGTTCACAGGCCTGGCCCCACATTGCGCACCCCGAAGGAATGAGCGCCCCGGACCGCCCGCCGGTCATCTGGCGGAAGAGGCCATTCTGGCCGGATTGGGTGCCTCGGCGGGCACATCGCCCGAACCAAAAACCACGCTAGTGGTCTCAGAGTTGGCGGACGCTGAAGGCGGAAGTGCGCCACGCGGCACAAGAGAGCCGAGGGGACCCGGCCCGACTGCGTGTGTGTGTGGGTTCGCGAGATCAAACGCAACAGCCGGGCGGTGGGCGCTTCGGTGTCGCCTGACCGTGGGCGAAAGGGAACCAAACCGACCGGCACCCAGCCGGCGGGGCGCCGCTTGTCGCTAATCTAGCCCGAAGGGGCGTTGGTTTGCGATCTGAGCGTTGAGCCCAACGGCGGGGGGTGCATTCTGTGGAATTGGCCTGCAGGATTGGGCATTGGTGGGCGCCGCTTGCGAGGGGCACCCAGGCCCGGCGGCGGGGGGCATGATCTGCAGACCTGCGTTGGGATTCAGCGGCGGGGGATGCAGGCCGGTGGGCGCAAAGAGCGGAGTGAACGGGTGGAGGGGGCACCAGGGTCGCGGGGGTCGATGCTGGCGTGATTGGACAAACCTCCCCCTCCCCCCCCCCGAGTGATGTGACAGGGGGAAGCTAAGGGAGTCCGCCCGCGCCATGTACTGCAGGTGGGGGGGCTCTTGAGTAGCGACCTCAGCGGCGCTGATGCACCGCCGTGACTGCGACATACCCAGCTCATTCCTGACTCGCGAAAGATGGTCTCATGAGGGTGATTTTCCACTATGGTGAGTCTCAAGAGAAGTTTTTGCTTGGCTGAGCATTCTACAGGAGTAGCTGAGAGGTCCGTAGACCCTCTCAGTGGGTGGAGAGCAACTCTCAGTGCCAATTCTGGAGTAGTTGAGGGGCCCATGAAACCTCTCAACGAGTGGAGAGCCGCTTACAAGAACTTGATTGAAGTAGCTGGGGGGATCGTTTGCTCTTTAGCAGGTGGAGAGCAGCTTTCTAGAGGACTCTACTAGAGTAGTTGAGGGGGTTGGTTGCCTCTCAGCGGGTGGAGAGCAGTTCCCTATGACTGGAGTTGAACTGCCCCTACAACCACCCAACGACATTTTGTGGAGTGCGAACAGCTCCCCAAGAGGCTCAGTAAGGTGTTAGAACACCAGAGCCTAATCTACAGAAACCAATAGGGTGCCAGTGCACCTGGCCCAAGGCCTTCTGAGAGTGCCAGTGTTGGATTAGGGGGCCGTCCAACTCCAATAGGGTAATAAGCCAGAAGGTCGGGGGCAAAGAGCTAAGTCAAGGAGTCTTTTACCAGGCCAGCTTAGACTGTTGTGAAGGGTTATCCCCACCTAGGGAGTCCTGCTTGAGGGGTGAACCTAGGTTGAAGCCGGGGGGAGCCCCACGCAGTATAGGGGGGTGCGACTAAAAACGAGATAGATGGGACATGGACCAGCTTGCACCTTATATACCTTATATAGCCCCATGGATGGCGGTCTGAGTGGGAGCTCTTGGTGCCTATCACTTGAGACATACAAGGCAGTAGGGGAGTGGCCTTTGGTAGCTGCGCATTCATCCCTACTAGTCCTAGTCGACCCAGTGTGGCCCCTGAGCTACCATCAGGATGAGAGGTTGGGGGTGATCTTCGAGTGGGCTGGGAAGTGAGGCAGTTGTGTGGCCGTTCCCGGGTAGTCCTCTCTAGGCAAGGGGGATAGGGAAGTTTTCGCTCTGATCAACCAATGGCATTCCCGGAGGTTTGGTAGAGAAGCCTCTCTTTTGAGGGGTGAGTAAATACTCTTTGAGTACTTTTAAATTCCCTATTGCTAACTTAAGAAGAAATCGGTTGTAAAGACTATTCTGGAACTATTGTGGTGAAGTTATCTGATACCTTGTTGGTTGCGGAAATATAGTACCCACTGACTTGGATATGTCATTTGGTGGATCCTAGGGCTTGCTCTAAGCGAGTAGAGACTATGCACCAAGATAGCTCTGGTATTGTGAGGTTTCCAAAAAGCCTTTGCCTATAGTCTACGCTCAGTCTATTCAGTTCAGTCAGTACCATCAGTTTTCCGTCAGTCATCATTTAGTCTTTATCAGTTTTGCTGGAATTATTGGGATTCTTCCTACATTCATTATTGTATTCTACACTTTTGCTGTTTTTGCGTGAGTAAGCAGCTATGGCGGATAGATTGGATCTATTGGTAATTTTGTGGTTAGAATGGAGGAGACTATGGGTCCTGAGGCTGTTCTCTCTATGACTCACCCTGTAGCAATGACTTATATTATATCCATATCTGAGGCAGCTGATGATGCACAACTACGGCCTCAGTCCCCTCTACATGCTGATATTTTATTCATGGAGTAGTATGTAGATCGTATTGTATCGGGGACAGGAGCATGTACTAGTAGACAGCCGTACTCGCCATGTATACGGAGTCAGTGGACATTCATTCAACAGCCCACACATACGTTGCCCGACCACACAGCCTCGCCATTCACAGTTCATATCAGGCCACGTGAGCCACCAGCATTTATTGGAGTGCAAGGACAGGATTTTGTGTCCTGGCTCAGAATGGTGGATGATTATTTATATGTAGTGGCATGTTCTGAGCAACAGGCGATCGTCTATATTATACTTCCTGCATCTGGAATTAATTGTCCTCCATGACTTTGGCACCATACTTGTCTATCGAAGTCCTCTAATTTTCACTGAAATTTCTTCCAAAGTTGTGCCTATGTTTTGGGAGTATACGGTCAAAATTTCAAGTCGATCTATTAAGTATTGAGAATTTGGCAGTACTTTGTAGCAAGGGGTCTCAAGCCAAAAAAACACCCGTTTTCAACGAAGTCACCGAAACGGCCGTTTTTTGCGATGGTGAGGGGCACGCCTTCCTGGCGGCGAAACAAAGCCGCCTATACAAAACTTTCAATGCCATTCAGACTAAAGGTCGGGGTAGTTATGATGAAGAGGCAGGGCGACCAAAAATGAGTTCTGGTGGGATTGATTGCCAAACTCGCTGTGGCTTATGGCTGCAATTTGAGGATGATCTGGCAAATCGGAGCTGCTTTCAGAGCCCAGACTTTTGGGCGAGGAGTTTTCGACCTCCATTGCCACCGTCAGGGTAGTTGCAAGAGGCGTCTCAATGCTGCTAGTAAGCTGCGGTCGAAGGTGTTGGCGATCTCCCCAGTTAGGCGGCGACCGATTCGGGAATTGGCTACCAAGGCAGATTTGCTAAAATTGACAATTTTTGAGCACTTGAAGGGAATGGGTGCAAGAAGGATGGGCAAGTGGATCAAGCCATACCTCACACAAGAGCAGAGACATGCTAGGCTACGCTGGATCCTGGGCCACATGCAAAAAGTTGGCCAGAACTGGGAAATTTTAAATTTTGCGAACACAATCCACATCGATGAAAAATGGTTATATGTAATGAAAGATGCCCAAAAGTGTGGGTTCTACTGCTTTAGAGGCACAGAGCAAACCTTTCATTAAGAAAGCAATGCTCTTAGTTGCTATAGGGCGGCCCCACAAGTGGCCAAATGGGGCCAATGTTGGCGCAGGATTGGAAGCGTAGTGGTTAGGCGCCTCTCACGCCCTTGGTGGGCCAACAGCTCGCCCCGGG